ATTTGGACATTTTTACTTACACTTATTTTAATTTTTTCTACATAGTAAGTTTATCTACAATCTATGATATTTTCATATAAATAATTATATTTTAGCTCATTTTTGGCACAGTGCAGCAGCGGGCCGTAGTTTGGTGACCCCTGGCTTAGAAGGAAGAGTGAATAGTTTGTAATTAAAGTATTTTGTTCTTAAGTTTCTTTGTGTGTTTAGTAATATTTACAAGCTATGATACTCATGTTTTATTTTCTATAGAAAATGTTTATAAAATCCCTGATGATGATAGCATGTTCTATGCAGTATTTACAACTTCTTCGTAAGTATTACTTGCAAGAAATATAATTAAAATATATTTTTCATGATTTCTACTTTTCCACATGATTGCTTGAATCTACCATTAGATTAATACTTTTTTCTTGTTGCTAGTCCACAGTTTAATCCCCTTTTTTTAGGTAAATCAATTTTTACCAGTAGATAATAAGAAATAACATTGTTTTTAAGTATGTTTTATTTGTTTATCTTATTTTGACAATTATGTACCAAAATATGTTTAACTGATACTTTTATAATTAATTTCATAAAGAAACTATGAAAAGCGTTACTTTTTATATTACTTTTTTCTTATCTACCTCGGTTTTGAAACACATATTATTCCCGTTTATTTCTATAATTTTGTAGACAGTGTGCTTGGATCTGAATATTTTGGAAATCCAAAATGACTTTTTTGTGATATAAAGATAAACTAACTATATAAACATATATCCTTGCTAGAACTATTGAATAAGTAGTATATATATATCTTATGATGCCAAAATTTACACATTGTAGCATGCATAAGTACCTCAACTGTGATTTATGGAGCACAGTATGACTGTATCTCTGATCATGAAATGACCTGTATCTCAAGTTTAAGATGTCTTATGCACATTAACTGAATGTGAACAGGGTCAGTTCATTGAACCAACCTTCTATTGGAGAAAGAATGTTAATTAAAATTCCAAATTTACTCTGTTTGTGTGAAAAGTGACAAGTTTTTAGTAAAATGTACAAGTCTGTTGTACAAACAAATAAGATTTGTACGGAATGTTTGTCTGTGAATTCATGAAGTCAGTCTGTCTCAGACTCTGACAATTCGTAGTGTAAGGTAATGTTCATGCGAAAAATATAGATACTTTTGCCCATCATACAGTTTGCATAACTTATAGAACATTTAAAATGCATATCTATAATTTTTTTCAATATCCTTGTATATTATCAGGTATATATTCTCTTCTACTATGAACTGTCACTAAATCAGCAGTCTAGAATATAATAAATAGCTGAAAACTCTGACATCAAATACATAATACCATATTCAATAGCACTCTGTAAAAGGTCATGGCATATGCACTTTGACCCCTATCTTTACACATAAGGTTAGTCAAGCTCTATCATAAATCTTTCTTTGTAATAAGTACAATTGTGTAACTTACTTGTCTCTTGAGTTTTTATTTTTTGGGGGGGTTGTAGATGTTTGGTGATGCAGTTATTTTTAGCATCTGAGTCACAAGTTTTGAAAATTTTCCTGACTCAAAATAGTCCATTACTTTCTTTAGAGAGTGTTGTATATTGCTTTTAGAGGCTGATATGTCATTAGTGTCAAATATCTAATATTAGATATAATAGAAGACAGTTAGGCTTAGTGATGAAAAGTAGGTAATATAGCCTCCCAAGTGCAAACTAATCAGATGAAGTGTGATAAAATTATTTTTTGTGTTGTCATATGTAAGTTTGATTTTTCATGTTTTATTCAGTAAGTAGTCTCAAGAGAAGATTCTAATTGGTATTTTTGTTTTAATAGTTGTGTGATTCTGTTTAACTTAAAGATAAATGGGTCATATTAGTCTTTTAATTGTCATTTAAGTAAGGATAAAACTGTTTGAGGTGACTACTGAAATGATCAACCATTACTTAATAAATTTTTATCTGTCATATTAATGTGATTTTTAGAAATGGACTGACTGGATCAGCAATATGCACGTTTAGTCTGGATTCGATTCAAGAAGTTTTCAATGGAAAGTTCAAGGAACAGGCCACTTCCTCTTCAGCTTGGCTACCTGTCATTAGTGTGAAGGTTCCAGAACCTCGTCCTGGTCAGTGTGTTAACAACACCCAGACTCTTCCTGACTCGGTGCTTAACTTTATTCGTGGACATCCACTGATGGATTCTGCTGTTGCCCAGGAAAATGGAAAACCTGTATTTTACAAAAGAGATGTTATCCTGACCAGTTTGGTTGTTGATAAATTAGAAGTTGATGGGGTTTCTTATACTGTTTATTATGCAGGCAGTGGTATGTTTACATATTGAAATTACTGTAATTCTATTAGCAGGCATGTTTTAATATATGTATACAAGTTTTGGGGTTGGATGTGAAGTAATAAATGAAAAAGAAAAATCATTATAATTAATGTGCAGTCTTTTTTTTTTAAGATCTTGATGCATGTGACTTCTTTCTCAAATTCTTTTGAGCTTTTATAACATTGTGGATAAAGTGTTATTTTGTTAATTTTGAAACATTACATTTGAAAAACAAACTCACAAGAAATCACAACTATGAACATTGGTTGTTCATCATGAGTATTTCTAACAGATTGTTGGTATTCTTCCCATACAGTGGATGGACAGGTGTTTAAGTTGGTTGAGTGGTATGATGGAACAGGAGAAGCACACTCTAACCTCGTAGATGTGTTTGAAGCCAACACCCCTGAAGCTGTGCGCAATATGGAAATCTCAAGCAAAGTAAGTTTTTGTGCTTCATGTCTTACTTTGTAAATTTAAGGGTTTGATTTTGCCTGTGTGATGCACAAGTGTAATAGCCTATTGTACAGCTTTGCACTTAAAGATAACAGCAGAAAACAAACAGTGTTTACTGTGTTGATTTACAAGAAGAAAGTTTTAATCCAATTTGCATCTTGCAGCATCATAACAGGTTTGTCAAAACTGTTTATGTAGATCAAGAAATGGGGAAGAGCACTATGGTTATTTACTACATTATATATCCTCTAATAAGGTTCCACAATATGAATATAAGATCGTGTAAAGTAAATAACATAAAACACTTGGATATACTAGCTAAATTCTAAAATAAGTTTAATATTTTGAATACATAGGTTGGACAAAATAAAAAAAACGAATATTTGAGAAAGGAATAATTAAAATGAGGAAATGAATTCAATCACTTTAAAACATGAATGAGTAGAAAGAAAAGCTCTGTAAACCTTGTCAGCTCAAGTTGCAAGAAAGAATGAAAACCATATATTTGAAAACATAAATTGCAAGGGAGAATCAAAATCATGTACTTGAAAACATGTTGTTAAGAGAATGTCAAATAATATAGTTTAACCTTAATGAATCCATCAGGGTGAACCCATTACTTGAAGTCAAATTCACACTATTGAATTAAAAAGTTTATACAAAATAACTTCTTGTTTCTCTTCCACACACATTTATTAATTGTTCCAAAATGTTTAAGTAATTGTAAATTTGTGATTTTAAATTGATTTCAGTCCAAATGGAAAAATCACTGAAAAGCATCATCATAACCACCTAGAAGGAAAGTTGAAATAGCTTTAAAAGCACAACTCCAGTTTGGACTTTGATACGAGCGTAATTCTATTGATTATGGCCAGTCGTCGTTTTGCAACTTTGGTTGCCATGGTATTATATGAATTGTGTTTTATAAGTGAAAAACTTTGTTAAAAAACTCCTAAAGCATATGGGTATTCATAAAAAAATCAGTAACTGAAAATCTATAACAAACTTAAACAGTTTTAACTGTTTCTTAAAAAAAATCTCGCAAAGAAGTCATTTTGGATTACCAAAATTGGGAGTTCATACAAATATCACATACAAAGATAAAGAATTTTATTTTGAATAAACTACATAATCTATAGAAAGTTCATCTCAAGTTTCAAACAATTTAACATAGTACTTTTTTTTTTGCAACACAATAAAACAAACCATTTGTCAGAAGTGGTTCAAATCAACACATTCGTGCATTTTAGGGTTAAAACTAGGTAAAAATTATTAATATGTAACACAAACATTTGATAGGATGGCTAACTAATTTTTATAGGATGCATTTATGGATTAAAATGTAGATATTTACCAGTAACCAAATATTTTTGTGTTGCAGTAATGTGATTCCTTTCTTTTTTTCTTAAGCACAAATCATTGTATGTAGCTTCAAAGTCAGTGATTCGGCAGTTTGATTTGGTGATGTGTAAAAGCCGTTATGAAACATGTCTACGATGTACGCAGGACCCCTATTGTGGGTGGAACAAAGAGCGTGGGGAATGTCGACCATACAATAGAGGGTTCGTACTGAATTTTTTAATGGAGTAGGAGTATCATAAAAAAATTTTTTTTATAATGTATGTTCCTTACTTTATGGTGGAAATTAAACAGTTTTTTTAGTGCACTTGAGATAAACTGATAACTTTACTTGGTTTGATAACAGTATTATTGTACAATTAACTAGTTGGATGTTTGCAAAATATGCAGGTTTAATTATTTTTGACACAAAATACATTGATTTGTGTATTTTCAATATAAAGCACATTTGTATTTTAAATATATACGATTTCAGAAGAAAATTATTTTTTTCACTGTCCTTAATTTTAAAGAATGGCATAACATAGTTAATAGTGTATAAATTATAATGTAACTCATGAAGATAACAATGAAGCTTATGTAATAATACACTTTTTTCAGTTTTCTTGGAACATCCCAACTTTTTCAAACAGACTGAGAATTTACACTGCTTTGGATTACATTCTTCAAGCAATATTGAATATTTTAAAAGTTTTTGCAAAATTATATCTTTTGTAAATGTAAAACAATAATTTTTTTATGTGATAAACCAAAGTCATTGTTAATATCATTTAAAACCACTGTAGTTCTATTGTAATAGTGGAAACCAACAAATCTTTTGCATGCCAGAGTTATGGAATGCTTAGTTAAAAAGACTCTACATCAGTCAGAAAATGTGTAACCTTATAAATAGATGCCCCCCCCCCCCTCAGTGGCACAGCGGTATGTCTGCAGACTTACAACACTAGAATCCGGGTTTTGTATACCCGTG